GCATGAGACAAGTCTCTTTGACGAGCTGTTGTGTGGTGCTAAGACTGGCGAGACTCACTAACGATGCCGGCGAAACATATGAGAATGTACCATGTCCACGGTCAAACTTTGGAAATGATCATGCATACAAAGGACTCCGGACTAGGTGCGTTCCTTTAAGTCTTACTACCAACATGACCAAGTTACAAAAACAAGGTCAAACAACCTCTATACAACGAAAGGAGACTACGACCACACAAAAGGTCAGACAAGCCTGGTCTTCATACCTTCAAATAGAATTACTTTCACATTTGAGGTTGGCACATAAGAGATAATGGCATAGGAATTCATAGACTTGGCATTATGGATAGGAGTACGATAGATGCTGCAGGGACCAGAGATAGCTGGCTAACAGCACACGGATTTGAGCATAGCTGTGGTACGTTAAATTAAGGGTTGGCCACGAGATTCATCTGGTACACATGCCGACCAATACAGCTTCAAGTTAGCCTCATATCCAGCTTGAGAATCCAGACTTTGGAGGTCTTGCTAGTGAGGCGGGATTACACGTACTATCAAAAGATTGAGATAGAGTATAGGACACAACACCTTGAGTAGAGCGGATATGGTGGCAATTAAGGAGTGAAATCATTGAACGGGGAAGATAAGAGACGGATCCTACGGGGCAAGAGGAAGACTCTGATATGACCTGGATAGTGAGGATGCTAATTTAAAAGGGCAAACTCGCATAACCTCTCCCAACACAGTGGGGAAGATGAGGGAACCTGCGATGAATGTGAATAGGTCTCATCAAATCCATTCAAAAGGGCACACCTTGGCTAGATTTAGATAAACAACTAAAAATTGTGATAGTGAAGCTAGTGATACGAGGATATATGAACGGTGAATAAACTAGGACAGGAAAGGTATGAAGACCAAGATGGTGTGTCCTTTTGTGTATTCGCAGTCTCCTTTCGTTGTATAGAGGTTGTTTGATCTTGTTTTTGTAACTTAATCATGTTGGTAGGAAGACTTAAAGGAACGCACCTAGTCCGGAGTCCTTTGTATGCATGATCATTTCCAAAGTTTGACCATGGACATGGTACATTCCCAGACGTTTCGCCGGCATCGTCAGTGAGTCTCGCCATTCTTAGCACCACACAA